TCTTGGGGTCTCTGGGAGGGGTGCTGGAAAGTGCTCCGACTGGAGACTCCATCGCTCCACTGGGGGACTTCAATGCCCACGTGGGCAATGACAGTGACACCTGGAAGCGTGTGATTGGGAGGAATGGCCTCCCTGACCTGAACCTGAGTGGTGTTCAGTTATTGGACTTCTTTGCTAATCACAGTTTGTCCATAACGAACACCATGTTCAAGCTTAAGGGTGTCCATCAGTGTACATGGCACCTGGACACCCTAGGACGTAGTTCGACGATCGACTTTGTGGTCGTTTCATCTGACCTACGGCCGTATGTCTTGGACACTCGGATGAAAGAGGGGCGGAGATGTCAACTGATCACCACCTGGTGGTGAGTTGGATCTAATGGTGGGAGAGGAAGACTCAGACAGACTCGGCAGACCCAAGCGTACTGTAAGGGTCTGCTAGGAACGTTTGGTCGAGTCTCCTGTCAGAGAGATCTTCAACTCCCACCTCTGGCAGAGGCTGGACCGGATCCCAAGGGAGGCTGGAGATATTGAGTCCGAGTGGACCATTTTCTCCACCCCCATTGTCGAAGCGGGCGCTCGGAGCTGTGGCCGTAAGGTCTCCGGTGTCTGTTGAGGCAAAAACTCGTGCCTGGGAGTAGTTTGATGAGGCCATTCGATCGGCTGGCATCGAAGAGATTCTGGCAAAGTGTCCAGTGCCTCCGAAGAGGGAACCAGTGCCCTACCACCGCTGTTTACAGTGGAGGTAGACAGCTGTTGACCTCAACTGGGGATGTCGTTGGAGGGTGGAAGGAATACTTTGAGGATCTCCTCAATTCTGCCATCATGTCTTCCATTGAGGTAGCAGAGACTGAGGGCTCAGAGGTGGACTCGTCCATCACCCTAACTGAAGTCACAGAGGTAGTCAAGAAACTCCTCGGTGGCAAGGCACCGGGGGTGGATGCAATCCGCCCTGAATACCTCAAGTCTCTGGATGTTGTGGGGCTGTCTTGGCTGACACGCCTCTGGAGCATCGCGTGGCGGTTTGGGACAGTGCCTCTGGGATGGCAGACCGGGGTGGTGGTTGGGGACTGGAGGGCGTGTTCCAACTACAGGGGGATCACACTTCTCAACCTCCATAGGAACCTCTATGCCGAAGTACTGGAGAGGAGAATACGGCAGATAGTGGAACCTCGGATTCAGGAGGAACATTCGGTTTTCGTCCAGGCCGTGGAACACTAGACCAGCTCTATACTCTCTACAGGGTGCTGGAGGGTTCATGGGAGTTTGCCCAACCAACCCACATGTGCTTTGTGGATTTGGTGAAGGCATTCGACTGTGTCCCTCACGGCAGCCTGTGGAGGGTTCTCCGGGGAAGACCTAGGACACGCTGGAGGGACTATGTCTCCCGGCTGACCTAATGCCTTGGTGTTGGAGGAAGTGTCTAGGGAGATGAAAGTCTGGGCATCTCTGCTTAGACTGCTGCCCCGCGACCTGGCACCAGATAAGCGGAAGATTTGAAGCGTCAAGTTACTTTCAAAAAGTGATTAGCTCTATTTTGATCACCGTAGACATCTGTGTTTATATCAGAGCTATAAACTTTTATCTCAGTACTTCTGTGATCATTTAAATTATTGTAAGACAGAAATAATGATACTACTGCATGTGGTTGAAAAGACTGTTTGTGAAGCTGTTTCATACATGACTGCTCTCTCTGAATCAGCGGCAGCACCAACGCTGTGTTCCACTGTGATTGTACTTGTCAAAGGTTTAATAGACAGAATTGTTGTCATTTAGGAATGAGATTGCATGGGTGTTTGAATCATGTTTGCGATCTTTTAATGATAAATCGTGCAGTCAAGCATGAAAGAAAATGGTGTGTTCAATGAATGTATACCTGTTTCATGTACTATAGAATACACAAATTGCAAGTAACACAAACTGTTGACAGTCTACTACAGCTGTGCATTATTTTATTAATGAAATGTACCTTTATTGAAGAACATTGACAGACACTCAAGGAAACAGATCAGTTATCAGCCTCTGTTGTTTGCATGAGTCATCCCAATATAATTGGTTCATTTGGCAGCTAAGTAAACTTATATCAGTGATGAAAGTTCATTGGAAGTCATGCACGTGCCTAACTTAAAGGGGTCATGACATACAATATCAATGTAGCATTTTGCATGTAAGGTTACAACATCCTGCAAGTTTTATTGCTTAAAACGTTATCAATCTACAAAAACTGCTCGTTTTGATATTGTATGATTTGTGACGTCACACAGACAAATATATTTGCCTATGCCTGCATCCATAGAACGCTTCAAGGAATAGTTTTACATCATCGCAACAGGCCCCGCCCACTGGTGTCCAGTCGCTCCACGCCTGACAATTGACTATGCCAGTTGTTCAAAAGCAATTAGAATCCATTTTAATCACTGACGCTGTCTACACTTTATTCAGTACACACATGCTGCCTGTTCACTTTCAGCCCATTCTCAACCCCAAGGCGTCACCTAACTGACGTTTCTGCATTTGGACATGCTTCAATATCTGACGCTTTAGGCGCCCTTCAGCGTCATTTAGATGACGCCCTAGGATCGCGTGTAATCCTACCCCCACCCCAGACCTAAACCTAACCGCGTCATCTACCTGACGTTTTCCTTTAGCGTCAGTTACATGACCCCGTAGGATTGCGTCATGTAACTGACGCTAAAGGGCGCCCAAAGCGTCAAATATTGAAGCATGGTCAAAGGTGACGCCTTGGGGTGAGAATGTGTTGTGACTTTCTGACGTTCTCGACTCCCCTGAGTCCTCCAACTAAAGAAATAAAATACAAGAGTAAATGGAAGTGTATAAAGGACTGTTCGCTTTGATGTGTCCTGTTTAAACAGCTCATTTGCTCACAGAGACTTCAGAGGGATAGCATCAGGAACAGGTGGATGATTTATTTTGAATGGCATCATGAATTGCGATGGAGGATTATATGTTTATTCAGAGAATTTGACTGCAGATTGTTTTGTGAACAAGGCAGTGTCATGGAGAGTTTGCAAAGAAACTTTTGTTGACAGATGAAGCTGTCAGAGCTCTTGGATCTGACAGCAGCTGTCGCAAACGGTACAATTTTATAATGCTTTGTCTGTAAATGACAGATTTTTCCCCCATATATATGTTTGTTTCTTTGTTTTTTGTGTGCAAAAAACATTATAAGTGAACCAAAAGTAACTTGAACATAATCCATGTCATGACCTCTTAAATCTTTTTTAAAAACCCTTTTTCATTGACTTGAACACAATCATACATTTAAGAGTCTCAGCTTGAAGAATCTTGTTTAAATGAAAAAAAAGAGGAATAAAGATATTTGATTCAGTCTGTATACTGTATATGTATTCTAATTTTTTTAATATTTAATATATGCACGGTATATGTTAAAACATCAGTATTTTTTGTCTTGGTTTAGTTAAAATGTTTATCATCCAAAAATATCAATATTTTTGAGAAGCGATTACTGTATATTGTGCAAATGTATACCTTGTTGTAAGGATGCTTAGATATTTTCATTAAAAAAATAATACAAACCCAACTGATATTGAATGTTTTAGACACCTGCACCAGCTAAGGTATATTATTGTGGATAAGCCTAATTTTTCCCCATTACTGTCTATAAATTCTATCTGCATATTGACAGAATGAGTGCTCTGCCAACATATAATTCCTGCCTCTTGTCCATAGTCATATGAATGCATTTGAATATTCTTTCAGTCTCGCTCTCTAAAATAGTCCAATTAACATCTCGGAAAAGAAATGACAAATTGAAACGCACACACCCACTTCAGCTTAATGCACAGCAGTGAAAGTAAAGCTGTATAACTGCCGGTGTCCGGTTCTAATAGAGCACTTGTTGTCTATATGGTCTCTCGAATAGACAAGTTCATATTTTATAACCTCTTTGCGGCTGGTTAGTTTTAAAAGGGTGAGGACACGGAGAGTTTGACTCCAATATATTTTCCCACAAATGGGAATTTAAAAAAAAATCCAGCTCCTACCCTCCACGTACAGTAATATAAACTGCTTCATTGTAATATTTCAGAGTTGATGGAAATACTGATTGATATGTTTGGGGCCATCCATCCACATTTGTTCAGAGTTTTTTGTGTTCGCCTCAACAGTGGTTTGATCTCTGATTGAGTTCTCAACAAAGGCATATGTTTTCCGTACACTGACATTTCATTGAGTCCTCGCACTTTTAAAAGAGTGCACTGTTGATGAGTGTTAAAGGACTTGTTTGATGAGATGCATACGGAAAACAGTACACATTTTGAGGTGACCTATTTCTGATTTAATGGAGTGAGTAATCAATCCAATAACAGGGTGAGCATTGTGAGGTCATGAATTACAATTTCACATCCAACATGACAAATCTTAACCGGATCATGTCTCAAAACAGATTATTTTGCTGTAAGACAAGCCCTAGCTTGTCTTACAGCAAAAAAAAAAACAGTATCACACTTTTATTTTAGTTTATTTTATTTAATTATTTATAAAAACATTTTTATAAAACATTTTAGATATTTGTATAATATAAATTGAAATAAATGAATAGAAAGTAATCTGATTGTGCCTGATTAAGAGATTCTTGCTTGAAACACCTCTTGTTGGTGAAAATAAACTCTGAGAGCAACAGTATGCCAACTGGTTTGGGCTTTTTCATTGATTATTTTGGTAATTTTCATTACTGTTTTTTTTTTCCCGCATAACCATAATTGAGATGTGAAAAACTGGGAAAAAAACAGGATAAAACTAAACTATGTGTGGGCTGACTGTGGTAGGCTGCTCAGGTGACGGCATTTTAAAGTAGGCAGTTAATGTGAGTGTGTGTGTGTGGTGTGGGGGGTGTGCTGGGGGCCGGCTTACAGAGCCGTGTAGGCAGGAAACCTTCCCTGCTCACACACGCTTTCCATGCAGCCATGGGGGTGGAGAGATGCTATAGTTAAACCCAAGGCAGGCTGTGGATACAACAGACCAGAGTGACACTCGTAGAGAACGGCAAAAGCTGCAGCCTCAAACACACACACACGCGCACACACATAGAACAGCAGATCTTAACAGGATACTGCAGTCAGTAACAGGCACATGAGCACTGGAGGAAATGGAGTGACAAGAAAAAGGAAGACACACATCACACAGTGCCATGTGTGCAGGACAGGTATGATTCTTTTGAAGATCAACTTTTTTTTGCGCAAAAGTAAATGTTTGGAGTTTATCGACATTATCTAAATTTCAGGCTCAGACTCTTTCATGCTAAAAATGTGGTCAATTTCAACTCCTCATGAATAGAAAAGAAGCGCCTCACTGTTTGCAGTGCACTGCAGTGAGAGTGGATCCTCTGGGCTGTTGAAAGACGAACTGTAATTGTTTTCTCTGTGCTGAGTGAGTGTATCTAGAATGGAATGCAATGGACAGAAATGCAGCTTTTCTCTTTGTTCTCCGCAGTTAAAGAGAGATAATAAAGGGATCGTGCACACCTATCTGCTTCTTCCCAAACTGCTTAAACTTGCCAGCAGGAGCTTGGCTGATGCCATTATCTTGCGTATTTGTTTGTGTTGTATCCCATTCCGTACAAAACCAGATCAGAGCTATCACGAGAAACTTATTGTGTTGGAGCATGTGTGTGGGTGGATATGTGTGTGTGCATATGAGGAGCACATGAGTGTGTGTGGGTGTTTGGATATAGGTATTTGTGTGGGAGGGTGTAGCTCGATGTGTGTGGGTGATCAAGTGCGTGTGTTTTCAAGTGAAGAGTGTGTATGTGAAATATTCCACTAAGGGCATACAATTTGCAGATGGCAGAGGTGCCTGTCAAACCCAAGCATTCCTGTGCTGCTCTCTGAAGCGCTGCTCAACGAATGCCCTGAATTTCAGATGAAACGTGAAGACAAAAGCCAGGGGGACATTTAAGAGGGTTTAGCTCAGACGGATCCCTGGGAATCAATCCCCCTCACTGCAGAGGGAAAATCCAGCGCTCGGGCTTGTATTTCAGGTTCAGCTGGAGACGGTTGCTGCCTGCCGCCGAGGGGCTTTCCCAAAATGAGGCACAACCGGGAGGGGATACAAAGAGACCCACCTGTGGTGCAGTTAGAATCGCACTGTCTGCTGGGAGCGTCAAGTGTCTTGCTGTTGTTTCCCCACTGGGTTGGTGATATTTTTCATTTCCAGTTCACTGATTGATGCACTGATGAATTTAAATGGTGTGGTCTGAGAGGTGGTCTCATTCCATCCTTACAAATGACAAACAAAGAGGGACGTTTCTATGGATGTGCTGCTTGCGAGCGGCTTTTACGTTCAAACTCGAGCGTAGAGTAGCTAATAGAAGACTTAGTGAGCACAGATTCACTCGTTCACTCGCACACTACAGATGTTCACTGGAAAAATCTCTGCAGGCTGCGTCAACGAAAAAGCAAACTTATATCAATTATGGACACAATAAAACAATTTATTTGTTCACAGTAGATTCATTTTACACAGGTTTTAACTGATGGAAGTATTCCCAAATCTGGTTAATTTTAAACCTTGCACACCGACTAGTATAGATTCCGTTAGCGATAAGGGCTGATTGGTTTGAAATGATTTAACCTTTCGGAATTGATTTACTTGATTTGAGGTATTTCAACACCCCGTCAAACGAAATAATTTAATTAGTTGATCCTATGTATTAATTGTTCGCAATTTGTCACATCTAAACGTTTCATATCTCTTTTTGAAGACAGCTTTGACATAAACATTCGTTTTGTTTGTCTACATTGGAAATCAATTCTATAGGTCACAGAATGAGGAAAGAGGTGAAAGTTCACCTGAAGTCCTTTAATACGCCATTGCATTTAGGAATGTGGGGTCATTGTTTATTTTAGCAAGTAAATGCTACTTTTGCATTGTATGATGTACTGGCAATCCATCCTGCATAGATCCTACGTGAGAATCTAAGATCAAAGAATTACATGCAAAATGGTCAGTGATGAAGAATAGGGACATATCAACTAAATATATAACAGGAGTGGTTATTCATTACAATATATCTGGTCAAACTAAACAAAGGCAGCATGTCCTTTAGACTATGGTTAAACAAATTTCAGTCACAGCCGACTGAAGCCGCAGATGATTGAAGCTACTTGTCAGGATAAGACTGAGAGAATGCATTTAGGTATTGTAGCCATTGTCTGCATTTTAAGCCAAGCACAACCACAGAAACAATATAGTTCTGCATCTTTGATTCTTATTTTAATTCTGCACTCTCCCATATCTTAACATTCATAAATGGTATAGCATAGATTCATTATCATGTGATGCGAGGGGGGGGTTGTATTTGCCAGTGGATTTCACCTGATCCACAAATGTATTCACCGCCAAATATTACAGCTGGCATAATTCTGTGTCCAAATTTTACTTCTCATTAACCAGAAAAGCTTTAGATGTGTCAACTGTGCTAACCAGCGTGCACTACAGAAATATTGAGTTGAAATTGTGTTTATTTCATTTTTTTATTATTGGAAAAGGATTAGATGCTTTTTATTAATTTGTCTGTGACAAACAAGAAATATACATTTGTAATTATTTAGCAGGAGTAGGCTATTTGTGTTCACGTGTTAAAAAAGAATATCCCTCTTCAACCCCATCTTTTCAGATTTTGAAAATAATTTGGATTATTTGAAAGCACACTAGTTAATGTTAGGATACAGCGAATAAATTATCCAGAGCTTTGTTCTCACTCTTTGTCTGCGTTGCTTGTCTTATTTGGCTAAAGCAGCTGTGAAACTGATATTTAAAATGTTTCCATACCAGTAAAGGCTCATACTGTGCTGTGTGTGAGAGCAGGGCTGAAGAGACATGCTGCGCAGGTTATGTTTTCATATTTTTCTGTGTGCAGATGTGCTCACACTGATTAGAACGGAACAATATACATTACATTTTTACTGCAAAATCATTAATATTCATTTCAAATAAGCATTTAATAATAATCACATTTCTTAATTCAAAACACAGATTTATTTATTGAAGCATGATCTAATTCTATGATGGATTAGTGTGATTGATTCCACCTTTCTTCATTCAAAGTTTAATTTTGTGTGCATGTTAGCTTTTTGGATATCTACAAGAATTTATCCTTAAAAATCATAGAAATAGGTTTCTGAAACCCTGTGAAATGATCAGTTGTGCCAATTTCCCCAAGTTCATCATCTGATCATCCTTCCTTTGAAAGCTTTAGCTGCTGAGATGCCATGAAAGAGAGTGGAAAAAAACCGAGACATTTCATCATATATGCCAATCTGGCACTTTGGAAATTTTATGTAAATCAATGGGCACCTCCCACAGCTGTTGTATTTCCCCCATGCATCCTTTCTGCATTCGGGACAAGGACTGAAGAAGGGAGTTCATGGTCTGTTGTGAATGAGATGATGTGGTCAGTTAGGTGAACTCCCATTGTACTTCTTTCCTGCTCTTACTCTCTGGTGAAACCCCGGGTGTCTACTGTAAAAACAACTCTGCGTCGAAAGAGAGAGGGAAAGCAAAGGGGGAACCAACTTGTACACAAAACTCAGTGGTTTCCCATGCACCAGCAACTAAATGAGTGAACGCATATATTACTCATTTGTCAACATGCAAATTTCTGGCATCTGGCATGCACTGCAGTTGAAATTGTGTGTTAGGAAAGTATTGAAGGCTCTTTACATTTCCATTGCCATTGATTGGGTCTTAAATTCTCTTGTATCCTTTAGGATATTTCAAACCGTATATATTCTGAATTAATGACACAATTTCCTTGACAAACCACCAGATGAGAAACTGATTTCTAAACAATTCTATTCAGCGTTAACTCAATTAAAGACATTAATCTTCAATAAACAAATTTCAGATTCCACAGAAATGCAAGTCTATTGCAAAGCACCTAAATACACATGAAAGCTAATTTTGACTACAGTATGCCTAAATGTGAATCAATCAATTGAAAGCCCTTGTTAACTTCCTTCTCAATTAATTAAAGTCTGTATTGTGTTGAATTAATTTTATTGAAATAAACATTCTTCAGTTTATGCCAATGTGGCATGTAAAAACTTCAGAACAGTAGGCTAATGTCATGTTTACTATAATGTTAAAATAATGGTTATTTAATGGTTCCTTGCAGTAGCCTATAAAAGGAACTTCTTCATATCAAGAACCATTTTCACTGTGGTTCTTGTGTTGTCTGCATGGTCTTTGGAAATCAAAAAACTCCTGAGGTTTTAAGTTCTTCAGAATAGCGTATTGGATTCATCTTTAAAATGGAGATTCTATGAACTGCTGGGGATACCAGAAAAAAGGTTGGGAATTCCATCATTTTCAATAAACATTTCAATAGGCCTATCAACAAAAGTTTGGATACAAGTTCGTGAAAGTCCACATAAATAGACGCTCACGAATAGTCGCGTTCGCCTGAGCTGGTAACCATAGCAACAGTAGAGTTCGAGAATCGACAGCGATTACTTGACTCGGTAATCGCCTGTTACGTCGACAAAACAATTACTTTATCATTAGGCTAATTAATAAAAAGTAACAACTTTTAATCATTCATTTATATATATTCCAAACATAGGCTATTTGTTTTTAAAAGTACACAATTTAAGACAACTGACCTAATGCGCGAGAGACGCTAGAGACGAACCTCAGCAGCAGATTGTGCAGCAAAGAAATTACACACAGGAAGTCTAATGACAAATCCCCGAAAGTCAAAAGTCACTGAATAATTCGTACATTGTACATACACAGATGTTGTTCTGTTTTTTTTTTTTTTTTTTTGTAGTGGAATTTTATAAATGTATCCAGTGGCCACGGGCTTTATTTTAATTTTATTTTTTTTTCCTCTTTTCTTTTTTTACACAGTTATGTTCGACATGAAGAACAACAAAATGTTGGCAATTCCCCTTTGAATTTACTGTTGAAATCTTTCATCTGCATAAAAGAAGACGCAGCTGTTTTACCCCTTTCTGTTCTCAGAAACATCAACATGCAAGTTCAACATAGACATATGATGTCATCTCAGCTTATAACTTTCGCCTTTTTACTCAAAAGTCTATTTTTGACTTAATATTATATGCTTGCATGTAGTGCGTTATATCCCGGTTATATCCGCGCGCGAAGGGACGGCCCCGGCAGAGGGGGATTTCTGAACTGAATGCTGGTGGTGAAGTCAGCAGTGTTCATGTGAATGGGGTAGCAATGTTATTTCCAAGCCATTCGGTATTGGTGCACAACGTGAAAAGGCGGCCGGCGCGAAAAAAGGAAATGACAAGCAGATTAATAAAACATGCGATGATGAACATGAAGTGTTTCTGCATTTGCAACGGAGTCGTACTTTCATTTTGTCGAGCTGAGCTCGTTTTTCATGCCGTTCTTTCTTTTCTTTTCTTTTCTTTTTTTTTCTGGACACAGAGAAACAGACTGAGCGCTATCAGCGGCGATGGAGCGCGGAGGAAGATTGCGAGCATGCACAAGTCAAACAAAAGGTGCGTCGTGTGTCTATTTTATTATATCGTGCCATAAGCTGCATTGTGTCCTATGCTTCAGATGCATTGTTTAGCATTTACTTAATCTTTTTTTTTCTTTCGAGTAGCATGTGGCCAAACTAGAGCATTAAAGCCACAAATATGACATGTGATAATTAAACTGCATTCATGTTGCTTTGTGCGTAAAATCTCCAACTTACACTGCCGCATGCACGAGGCACACATAACACGCTGTAGCTACTGTGTGTGTGTGTGTGACTGTATGTGTGTGGTGTGTGTGTGTGTGTGTGTGTGTGTGTGTGTGTGTGTGTGTGTGTGTGGTAGCCTATCTGACAATTGCATTTTATAGAGAGAAAACGAGACTGTGAAAAGTAGTTTAATGACTTAAGTTGCACAGACGTTTTATTTCTTTATTTTTGTTATTTAGTTAAAGGACCATTTGGTTGAGGGTGATGTATATATATTTTTCTTCTTCTTGAAGTGAGGTTGGAGGGGAGGGTTTGTGAACTGAAGAAAAGGAAATTCTTGTGTGTGTTTTGGAATGCTGTTGCCCCGGGGGGACTGAAAGAATTGAGTTGGGGAATAAGAGAGGGGCGCGTTAGAGAGGGGAACAAGGGGGGGACACATTTCCCCTTTCCTCTTTTCCCCCAAATGATAAGGATAACACCATTGCCTAGTAAGATGAAGTGCAGTTGTCGGACGCCTGCAAGTGGACTGAACAGACATATTATACACATGGAACCCACTCACCCAAGCACCACTCGTCGCCCCCCATTACGCACACACCCTAACTGGGGTGGAAGCAAAAACTTTGTATTCATTTTCAAGTACTAAATTGGTGCTAATTGTACTACTAAATATTTAAAATGTTTTTTTTTTGTTTGTTTTTTTTAACTACTGTCATTTACCCACAAATCATTTACTCTTTAACAATCTCAAAGTACCTGTTTAGTGTGAATTTGTGCTTTTTTGTTTCAAATATTTTCCATAAGGGGGCACACACGAGACACACTGTGATGTTAATGTTCATAGGGTGATAAGACTAAACCTTATGCAAAAGCAGTCAAATAAATCCCATCCCATTGGCCATACCTTGATTGTTTCTCATATTGTAAAATATAGCTGCAGCTTATCGGTAACGTTAAGCTATCAGGCACCTGATCTTGTCTTGTTCACATATTGTTTGTTCATTTGCGTTTATAATCTGCTTTTGAGCTTTCTTTGCTTAGACTTAAAAGCCTTAATGCCTGCAATGTCTTATTTGTTGAATTCTATTGCGCAGGAGAAATTGGATTATTTCTTAGTAAACCGGTGTCAAAATGTAATTTCAGTTTTTGGCAAATGGTGCGTCTGATCAGTTACAAAGTAGTGCATTAACAGAGTCTTCTTTGTGCTGTCAGACATGTCAGGGATTTTTTTTTCTTTTCGCCCCCAAAAGTGCTGTTAATGGATCCAGTACCTCAATTGGCATAATGATAAGGATGTGAATGATTCATACCACAGTATATTTCAGTTAAGTACCTCAAATTGCCTTAAAAGACCTTCCCTTTTATAGCAACGGCTGGATAATTGCCACATTTTCATGTTCAATTACACAATAGTGTTTTAGACCTTTTATCCATAGTGTACAGTTCACTGTTACAGGGGTTATAATTATTATAAAATGCATATTTACTAAAAGTAAGAAATGACATGACTGTTTATGTGATTTGAGATTGTTTTGCAAGTGAAGCGCTCATCTCTGGAGATTATTCGAGTTGTGATGAAGAATGGCTGTTGGTGATCGCCCACACGCAAATGTGAAATATTCTAATGAGCAATCTGTCTCACTTGAGTGTCATCTAGCCTGTCCGTTTCAACAGAATGTTCCTTCACAGTCCTGAAGGGCTTCATTTGAATTGGACATATTATACAACATAATCTTTGGCCATGATGGCTTGAACGGTTTTGAAAGTCATATTTACACTTTCATTGTTAGCGTGATCAAGATAATGATGCTTATTATAACACACTTTCTTCTCCTTCTCATTTTTTTTTCCCGTAGTGCCTCAGATGACGATTCAGGACGGACTTGCTAAAACTGAATCACACACTCATCCTGCTCTGGTAGGTTGAACATTTTCTCCTTAGTGCTTTTCCTGAGCGTGAGTGAGTGATTTTTTTTTTTTAAATCACCAGACTCTGATGGTGTGCTTTTGTAAGTTTCGGTCTGCAAGGTAATAATTGGCAGGTGCTAGACTTGATCCAGGGTCTGTGTGAAGAGTGAAATCAGTGCGCGGCAGGAGGTGGCGTTGAAAAGAAATGTGATCAATTGTTTCAGATCTGTGCAAAAAGAAAAAGTTTGAAAGAAATCTGCTGTGTCCTCTGAAAAGATTTAGTATTTTACACGCATACGGCACAAACGTATAGAGGATAGTAGCCCACACATATTCCTGAGAGCCGTGGTTCTTTAGATCTGAGGAGATGACATCATAAAATGCTCCCTCGATGTGGGCTCAGCTCGTGGGTTGAAGAGGTGTATGTGTGCAGAGGAGTAGAGAAAGTGAAAAAGAGAGACAGAACGATCCTCTCTCTCCTTCTTTCTCTAAGTGTAAAGCCCGTAGGCTCGGAGCCCAGCGTTTTTACACCCACTCTCTGGTTTGTGTGGGTGTTTGAGTGGGCAGCAAACTTGTGACTCATCCTTGTTCAGACCCACACAGGGCAACTCCTCTCCTCTCCTCTCCTCTCCTCTCCTCTCCTCTCCTCTCCTCTCCTCTCCTCTTTTGTTTTCCACCTTTCCTTCACCTCTCATGTGTTGTAAAACTGGCTGTGAATGGTAATGATATGCAGCTGAATAATCAATCGACTTGTTTATTTTCATCTAACCGATGACACATCATCCCCTCTACTCAACCTGTGACTAGTATCTTTTTGTGTTCTTTCAAGAGAGTAGTATTACACATGAATGATGCAGTGCTGTGAGTCATATGTCAAAGATGATTGTATTCACTCTACTTTAGTCCTTATTTATATGTTGCTGTTTATATAGAATACTTTTGTTTCCCTGACAAGGCTGTGAAGTCCCTATTCCTTCATAGAGTATGCACTGTCAGCCTCACTACAATATTCAATTAAAGAACAACTCAAAAAAAAATTGTGTCAGCTCCATCAGCAAGACTCAGCTCTCCATCAACACCAAACCAGAAATGTGTTGCTTTTGACTCATCATTGTTGAAGAAATCAAAATCTGGTATTTTCATAGGCTATATGTGCTCATATTTCTTCCGCACACACTGACAATTTAAAAATAATATGTTGTTTATTTTAAAATATTTCCCCTAAAATGAAAGAGTAGAGAATGTATATTCTATATATATATATATATATATATATATATATGAAGAGTTCAGATGCAAAAGCCTCTAAATGCCATTTGAAATTTTCTTCTAGAATGATAATTTTTATCAAGCTTGTATATTTAAGTTCAATGATTTCACTTAAATGGCAATGATAATTACCTATTAATTGTTATTTAAGTGAAATTACTGAACTTAAATATACAAGTTTGATAAAAATCATCATTAAAGAAGAAAATTTCAAATGGCATTTAGAGGCTTTTGCATCTGAACTCTTCATATATATATACAGTGTTGGGTAAGTTACTCTAAAAAAGTCATTAATTACTAGTTACTAATTACCTCTTCAGTGTAATTAGATTACTGTACAAATTACTCTCTCTAAAAAGTATTTAATTACTAATTACTTTCAAAATCCCATATCAATCTCAACCAGCTGAATAATACAAGGATAGACATGAATCTGTTTTAATTCTTTCAAACAAACACTATAAAATTGCATGAATTATCCTTAAACAGACCAAGGTGGAGAAGGTTACATTGCATACTTTTTAGCATCAGACAATACATTTTGATGTTAAACCCACTATTGTTTTATGCCTGATCTCATGACATTTCACACTTTTTTCATACATATTTTACAATAATTCATACAAATTTGTACGAGTGCGGTCGAGATCGGATTGATCTATACACAGTATTTACCTCAATTACATCAGAAGTAACTGTAATTAAATTACAGATAAATGAAGAGTAATCCCTTACTTTACATTTTCAAGGGAAAAGTAATTAAATTACAGTAACTAATTACTTAGTACTTAGTTACATCCAACACTGTGTATATATATATATATATATATATATATATATATATATATATAAGGGACCTTCTCATATAGAGCATTTGGGAAAAACTGCTTAGTGCAAGATGAGTCAATAAATATTTTGGTCCATTGCTAGTGAGAAGTGAGCAACAGTGAATTTTATATGCATATTCATCTACTTTATTTTGTGAACAGTTCAGAAAAAAATGCTTGCATATAGATGACTTTAATGCTCATACACTCTAAAAAATGCTGGGTTGTTTTAACCCAACTTTGGGTCAAATATGGACTAACCCAGCCGTTGGGTTAAATTTTTACATTACGTTTTTAACCCAACATTTCGGGTTTGTCCATATTTGACCCAAAAAACTTCAAAACTCCAAATTCAAAATTCCTCAAAACTCAAAATTTTGATTTCATGGGGTCTATAAATGTCCCCTGGGGTTTGTGTATCCCTGGTAATCTTTGATCCATAAGATAAAGTCAACATTTATTAGACAATTCAAGACTATCTTACTGAAGGACTGGAACTCGAAACTGTAAATTCTGTGAGATGATTGTAAAAACCATCGTGTGTCAGCAGTCATAACACCGATGGAGACTCGGTGTGGATCAGAGAAGTGCGTTTTTACCCCGAGTTTTTACCCTGAATCACACGCGAGGGCAAAGGCAGACAATACAGTAGCACCAGGAAGTCTGCAGGGGATGTGTGATGGTGGACTGTGCGCCCCTCTTAAATTAAAGACAAAGGTACACAGGCTGGGACTGTGGTAGACACCCCTAGCGTCCCCTATCAGCCCCGTCGGCAGATGAGCCAGATAAAGATGTGTGTGCTCTGGAGGAAATGAACTCTGGTGACCCGTAGCCCTGTAAACATCTGGAGAAGAGCCCCGACTCACTCTCTCTTGTGCCTTTTTTAATGTAATGTCTTCCCTCTTTCACTCACTCCTGTTGTCTCTCTTGTTCTGCTGGATCTTCTAGTCCAAGGTTATTCTCTTTACCAATTCTCATTGTCTGTCACCCCTGCCGATGTCCAGCGCGATCCCAAGCCAGAGTAATCAGTCCCGTCTTTGATTACGCCACTCTGCCCTCAATGCGAGGAATGCATTGAGGTGAACTTTATCAGCATTGTATAACATCAGCACTTTCTCTCCGGCCTTGAGATAATTGAAGGTGGTACTCCAGGAAGCCCTGAAAGAGCCCTTGTCTGGGCCGGGGGAGGCCGAGCGCAGCAGGGTGGGGGCTGGGCGTGAGAGCAGGAAACCCTTCTTGGCGTGGAAGGGAATGTTTCAAAAGAACGTGTTCGGAACTTCCAGGACAAGGGCGTCTGCCGCTGCACCGCTGGTCATTCTCGTTCGCTTGAATCGCTGGCTCAGGATGGAGGTGGGGGGTGGAAAAGGGAAGCGATGGGTCTCCTCTCCTTTCGCACTCTCTCTCTCTCTCTCTCTCTCTCTCACTGGCAGGCCAGCCCACTCACAGGATATACGCAAAGGGGAGCTTGGACCAGAGCGGATGGGGTCACTGTGGCGCAAGGCGGGGGTCCCACATCCTGAGTTTATAGGGACAACCAAAGGCGGCAGGCTGGGGGAACGAGGGTCCTGGGCGTGTGTCAGTGTAAGCGTGAGCAGGGAGTGTGTGGGCAGCTGAGGAGGAGAGAAAAGACGTGGGTGTTGAGTGGGCGAGGACAGAAGAATGCTAGAGAGAGAGAGTGAGCGAAAGCAACAATCTCCGCTGCTTTTCATCTGACAACTTTTAAAGGGCCAGCCAAGGGGTGGAGAAGGAGCCGGTCAGACGCCTTTTGCCGTATCTCACGGTGTCCCTCCTAGCATCCACCCAAACCCCTGCAAATGGGACAGGAAAGGCATAACATCATACTTATTAGCAGATTGATGTATCGGTCACAAAAGAAAAGGTTTCCTTTTTAGAGTCAGGTTTCTTAGTTCATTATTTGAAATTGGTCTTGAAACAAGTAGAATAGTGCTTAGCAATGTTTGCAATAAACGAAGAGATATTCTTAATACACTACCATTAAAAAGTTTGGTGCTTGTAAGATTTCTTTTAAAGCTAGGACACTTTAAATTGATCAAAAATTGTAGTAAAGACTCCCTTAACGCCCACAAACCGTTTGACTCAGTCAACCAGCCGAGATAACGTCTGCATTCCCCCAATGCCGGTTAGTAAATATTCGCTACGGACCTAGGACCTTCGACAAGCACTCGTTTCTAGTGGGACCGCAAAGTGACGGACTTATTTCCTGTTTACGCACGAGGATTACTCCGGTCAGGAACATTTGCAACATTTGCAACATACCAAATTGACCATTATGCCCGCTGTTGCAGATTTGCAACATACCAAAATTTCGATTTATTTGTTGTGCAAAAGTGAAATTGATAATCTCAACATTATTTACCATCTACTTAAAGGCAAAAACACGCATAAAACATTTTTTTCTATACAGCTATATAAATTCAGGCGTTATTAAAGTATTTTTACATAAGATTTCTATTTCAAATATGCTGTTCTTTTGACAAATTAAGCTGAAAAAAATGATGACCTGTAGTAAGGTGAGTCAGATGTTGATTCAGTAGCCGCTTGTGTCGAATCAGTTCAAACCAGCGCCAGTTAGATAAACTTAGCCTCCATGTGCACACAAAGAACTAATAGCAGTTAGCCAAGGGGTAATCAGTCTTGTTTTACAATTTCAAATTAGACCAATCTGCTCTTTTTAAGAAACTGAGAGTTATGACCCTTCTCAAAGAAAAACATTTGATTCTTATCAGACTACACATTTCTTGCCATTATTTTGAAATACACAGTCTTTTTATCGCATCACATTCAGGACAGCCCAGTTTCGTGATTCAGTCCAAGAACAGAAGTTTACGAGCACTTCCATCGCATACCAAAATAAACCAGTCACATGAAAGATTTCCTCAACCATCGTGTTTCA